AGGAGCTGCCTGGCAGGTAAGGGCTGGCAGGTAAGGGGGCCCTCTGCCCCTCCGTGGAGGGGGGAGCGGGCCTACCTTGGGGGTCCGGGGGCTGCAAGCCAGTGGGTGTGGGGTGGCCTGAGGCTGCCTGTGCCTGCAGCCCCGGGGAGTCCCTGGCACAGCCACCCCTCAGTGCTCCTGGATGGGGCTGCAAGTCTGCACCTTTCCAAGGGCAAGGAGGGGAGAGGGATGGAGACAGCCATGCTGTGGCAGGCCCAAGCCTGGAGGTACCATGCAAGACCGCTGAAGCGTAGGGAGATCTCGGCTGGGTGTGTAGAAGGAAACTTTTACACAAGCCCTTCTTCAGGTCCTAAAAAGCAGCAGGAAATGTCGGAGCTAAATACCAGCTGAGAAGGATCGTTGGTGTTTTATGGCTGTGTATCGGCCCTCACCCATCTGCTAGAGGGAAGGATGTCCTTGGAAGTGCTGGAGAGGAGCACGGGGAAGGAGTTGATAATAGCTCTTGGAACAGACCAGAGTTTCTAACCTCTCCTGATTTAATGCATATTAAATTGGAGCAACTGCCAAATGTATATCGTGTTGGTGATTTCTGCCTTTATTTTGGGCCTGAAAAGGGTTTGTGTGCCAAGAACTTAATGTGATATTTTCCAGCTGTGTAACATACTCTAAAGTCAAGTCTTGTCTGCGTCCTTAAACTGTAGTTGCTACAGAACACTGCCATTAATCTTCCCATCCTTTCTGGTGGGAATATCCTGTACTGCCAAACAGAGCTGTTAAAGGGGAAAAAAAGTTTTCTTCTGTCAGAAACTTTTAGCAAACTTTTGTATTTTCTTTCCAAGAAACCATTTACGCAGCAAGACAAGAAACTACTTGGCAAGATTGCTCCTAGACTGTACCTGCACCCACAAACATGTATCTGAAGGCAAAAACACGTAGTCAACCTAATTGGAAACCACAGTACACAAGGACACAGCTGATACAGAGGTCAAAGAGTTTTAATACCAAGAGCATTTATGAAGAACAATATCTATTGGCAAGGCTAGTGGGTGGGAAAAGGCTTCAGATGAGAATTTGTGGAGATTACGAAACTAATGGAAATATGATTTTGTCTTTCATCAGTAAGATACTGCTAAGAAGAAAAAGTGGTATGATTAATAATTGGAGACAAATATAACTAAATCTCTGGCCCAGTTAGATGTATAAAAGAAGCAGTTGTTCTTAG